ATGTATTTGTGTGGTGTAATGGTTTAATTGATATTAGGAGCCAGGATAGATAGGAAAGAGCTACGTGTGGCTTGATCCCTTAGTAGGGTACGTAGGCAGCCTGAAGTTACTAGGTGCAGCCACAAATTAGACCCCACTTAGGTGATCTTATTGAGATTGGTCCTGGAGACTGAGTGAGTGAAGGTGTGCTTAAATAGATTTTGAATTTGTTATATGCATGTTTGTTGCATTAAGTTATTTTAAGAACTTTGTGGGCAGTTTTGCTAGAATCATTTGAAGGCCGGAGGCCATTTATGTAAATTGCATGAGATTATATTGTGCGTGCTGCCGGTTGGGTTATAAATGTATTTTATGCAGGTGGGAATTTTGGGGAAATGTTCAATTTACAGGGGAGACTCTGCCGAAATTTCGGCAGAACGTCTCGTCTCTTTTAGTAAGTGGGCCCAACATATGTATGATGTTGGAATTACCACAGGTTCGTCCTGGATTCCGCGGAATTTGGGGTGAGTCCTGTCAGTTGGAACTTTATCTGGATATTCTCTAAGATGATGACTCGCAAAAGTGATTTTGGTAAAGTAGGTAGTGGTGGTTTGTTTCGAGATTATCATGGTTGTGTACTTAGGGCATTTTGCTCCAATTTAGATGTCCCTAGTGCAGTACATGTTGAAGTTTTAGATGTCATCAAGGCCATTAAGCTTGCTTGCCTTCATGCTTGGCATAATGTTTGGATTGAAACTGATTCGTTATTAGTTACTCAATTCTTTCGCTCTCCTCATTTGGTCCCTTGGCACTTGCGATTTGATTGGCAGAATTGCTTGCATCGTCTCCAGTACATGTTGTTTAAGATTTCTCATATATTTCGCAAGGGTAATCATAGAGTTGACACTTTGTCAAATCACGATGTTCAGGGCTCTGGGTTCACGTGGTGGGACATTGCACCTTCATTTATTTTGTTAAAATAAAATTAGGAAAAAACCTAGTATAGCCGCGTGGAAGTACTATTTTTAAAATAAATTTGGAAAAAACCGCGTATAGCCGGGCGGCTATACTATTTTCCAGAAAATATGAACCACCATTCTAACCTTTCTAAGAGAATGGATTCATCTTCATATGATTCTTTGGATCTACCTTATGAACCACCTTTGGCTATGATTTTTTCTCTTATTGTTCCTTCTTTTTGTGTAAAATTTGGATTTTATAACTATTGTGCACGAGTTATAATAATTTGAGAAAATTTTGATAAATCACATCAACATGTCATGTGGATATGTACACAAGCAATAAAATAACTTCTCAAGTGAGTCAGCGAATTACTAAAGTATTTTCATGATCACAAATTTATTGATTCAATTTAGCACTCAGGACATAAATTTGTTTTCGTAAGGCTTAATATTTTAAACGTATAGCCGTGAAATATCATAATTTGAATTTCTCTTTTTTCCTTACTTTATTTAGTAGTTATGTTTTAATCATTATTTACTCAGTGAATAATTAGTATTTAAGTATTTTATTAAAGAAATTTTTTATAAAAAAAAAACCAATTACTATTTATTAAGTAATATATTTGTGAAGTTAATTAAAATATTTAATACTAATTATTCACAAAATAAATAATGATTAAAACATAATTACTAATGAAAGTAATTAAATAAGGCTAAGATTTTCGTTGGCACAAGTCTATCTCGATGCAATTTTGCTAGATTAGATCTCTCCCGATGACATTTTGTCGGCATAGGAAACTTTTATCGGGAGAGGTCTAATCCGGCAAATAGATTAGTTTCTTTGCTTTTATTTTTTGCCCAACTTCTTTAATTTAATATATATGTCTTTAAGTAATATCTTAGCCCTTTCTAATTACTTCAATTAGTAATTATATTATTATTCGAATATAGACGCACCGCTATACCATTTAAATATTCGAATATATTTAGGAAATATGACAAAGGGCACCTAAAAAGATAAGCAACATCATTATATCACTTCTCATACACATGCAACACACAAACAAGGCATAAATTTTCTCTCAACCCTAAGCGCCCACAGAGGAACAAAGTTAGAACGTAAATACATACCATGTCTAATTGATTCATTATCTCAAGGCTCAGCTTTGCTACAGAGAAATCCAGATTTTTATAGTTATATTTAAAGAGTATTGCCGAACAGCCATACGCGTAAAATAGAATATTTTAACAGCCTAGCCGCTCGGGTATACTGTACAAACAGAATATTTAAAAGTACAGCTGTGCGGCTATAAGCCATAAACAGAATATTTTAAATGAGTATAGCCGCCTGGCTATACTCCATAAATAGAACATTTTGGAAGACAGTATCGCCGCTCGGCTATTCCGTTTTTTAAGACGTTCATAAAACAATTCAAGACCATTCCTTGATATGTAGCTGAAGCGATGAATGTCCAGATCAATCTCAAAGTAGTTAGGACCCTGCATGTGAGAGAGCTTGATAAAGTCAAACAACATGGTTTTTCTGTTTCATCTTCTTAACACTCAGCAACATAAATGTTCAATGTTTACCTTGTAAAAATTGTGCTGGGGCATGAAAGAATTGGTTTGTCATTATATGCATGTACAAGCTTTTTCTCAGCAGAACACCGACCGATATCCTCAGGGTTTACCACCCCAGCCAAGATCTTTAGTCTTTCTCTAAAAGGTACAGTGGAGTCCTTTGCAAATCCTTTAAATTTTTCTGTCTCATATGTCTGAGTGAACCCTTTAGCTACCATTATGTTGGAATCAGGCCACTTGAGATGGTGCTTGGCACGTTCTTCCAATGCTTCAATGAATCTCCAAGTCACCTGAGAAACTGTACACTGGCCTACCCCGAAGTCAACTCCCATTGATACTGGAGACCCATGGCTATACCCTTATTATATTTATTTTTTGACGAGTATAGCCCCGGCTCTATTTTAATTATTTTTAATTTTTTAAAGCTTATAGCCGAGCGGCTATATTATTTTTATTATTTTTAATTTTTTACGAGTATAGCCGATCGGCTATACTAATTTTTATTTTGTTTTAACGAGTATATCCGCACCACTATACTTTTAAAATATATATTTAGAGTACACTCGGCCGTACTGTTAAAATATTCGAATATATTTAAGTAGTATAGCCGCCCGGCTATACTGTTATTTCTCCAACAACCAAAAGAAGGGGCAAAACGTCTCTCTGTGTCTGTCTCTGGTGTGTCTCTCTTTAAACGTCAAACAAGAAGAAGCAAGTCTTAGCCCTCCTCATGCTGCGAGTCTGTAACTGTTGGCTTGGATTCATTGAACTTGTTTGAAATTGAAACCAACCAAGACAAAACTGAAGGGACATATACAAAGAACATAGAGAGTAGAGGGAAGCCTCAGCTGTGCAAATTGCAAGCAAGAAAAGAAGAATGGAATTGGAGGGAAGGTGACCACTTTCCATAAACATATGGGGTCCACGCCATCTTTCTTTGATCTCTTCTCTGCACGCATAAAACTAATACCAGTTTTTTTATGTCCCCACTTTGACCAGACAACACACTATGCTGCTGCAGATAGAAAGAATTAAATGGTTCCATTTGTCTCCTTCTCTAAGGGATGGGATCAATTACCTCTTTCCTCCATCAGCAACAAAAGGGTATCTGCACTGCAGCCTAGCTAGCTTTGTTTTCACTTCCAAGAGCCCTCTATCTTATCATCTCAAAGAGTTCAGTTAAATCTAGCAGAGCCAGAGAGACTACATCAACTAGTTTAAAATGGACCACTGAGAGAAGGCCAAATCTAGGGGCCAGCTTGCTGGGTTAGGTGTGCTTTGGATCTACACATTTAAATGACCTATTTTATTGTAAGCCAACATCTTCAATAAACTAATTACCAAAAATAGACATCTTCAATAAACTAATCATTAGAGGTGTGCTTTTGTGTCAGCAGGGGATCTTTGTCTTCTGATTTCACTTCTTTTTCCATCTTTCTTTCTCTCCTACATGATAATGACCTTCCCTCAATGGAGACCCCAAAAATGAGATGTTTCTCTTGGGTTCAGTTAAGTCCCACCTTACCTCCTCTATTTAATTATTGTTTTATCTCTCTTTTGCCAGTAACTAATTAATTAAAAGGCTAAAACTAGTTGAAGCTGTCTCCCTCTTCATTCCAGAATTGGAACAATATGCTTCTTTTGACATCATCAAAGCCATAAGGATGATGCATATCTACACTACAAGCCTCCAAAATAAGGTGTACAAAATTTCAACCAAAATTTTCTTTGAATCTGTTGAAGAAGATTTCATTGGCCCATACTATTACCTCCTCCTCAATATCAAACTCATTCACAAGGTCTAAAGTAGTGTCCACCCTACAGTGCTATGCCACTTGTACAGTCAAAATATTTAAATAAATAAAAAAGTTTAAAGGCATGTAGTTGCAGAGGAGAAGATGTAAGAATTTTCTATGTGACTTTATTAGACAGTAACAGTAGGCTTTTAGTACCAGAAAGAAATCAATAAAGCAGAAAGGCATGGGTGAGCAATGCCAATCGGCCTCCCTCCACTAACCGACCTCTCCCTGCATGCATGTTGACGACTAATTTATCTTTTCCTTTTCTTTACCCTAACCAAGACCACCAGGAATTATAAATCTCTCATTCCCTCTTCATTTGCCTCCCGATTCTCACTCTCTCAACAACAGAAAGACAGTTTTCTATCTCTTCCTTTCATTTCACACGAAACAAACCCCTCATTACTTTTGCCTTTCCTTATTTTATGTCACCTTTCCTCCTTCTCACACACTATACATGTCACGTTTGCTCCTTCGCACCAGCAATAGTTAATATAAGTTATAACTACAAATCCTCTCTCTCTCTCTCTCTCTCTCTCTCTCTCTCTCTCTTTTGAAGCAAGTTATAGGATCACCTTTTCAGAGGTACACATATCTCCCAATTGGCTCCATTATCCCAGTACTAGCTAGAACTATAACTATATACACATATATAGCTTGTCTCTAGTTCTGAAGAAAAATGGTCAACTGTTTTGTTCTCTCCAAGCAGGAGAAAGTTTTGAGGGTTGTGAAGACAGATGGGAAAGTTTTAGAATTCAGGGCACCAACTTTTGTTAAGGACATGTTGATGAACTTTTCGGGCTCTGGTATTAGTGTATCAAAGCAAGCCTCAGAGCTTCTCCCTCCTAATTACAAACTGAAGCTTGGGAAGGTTTACTATATGATTCCTCTTCTGGGTTTTGTTGCAAGTGATGCGATCAGTGCAGGTATTATTTCATCTGTGGATGTTACAGAAAAGGACAGGGCTGCTACAAGAAGGATTAAGATCTTCATAACAAAGCAACAGCTTCAAGAGCTATTGACAAAGAAAATATCAGTGCAGGAGTTTCTTTCAGCTTCAGGGCTTGAACAGAAATCATCTTACCCCAACCAAGACCACCAGGAATTATAAATCTCTCATTCCCTCTTCATTTGCTTCCCAATTCTCACTCTCTCAACAACAGAAACACAGTTTTCTATCTCTTCCTTTTATTTCACACGAAACAAACCCCTCATTTCTTACGCCTTTCCTTATTTTATGTGACCTTTCTGCTGAGAATTAAGCTGCATACTAAGCTTAAATCAAGCTGCAGATGACAATCCTGCAGATTGATAATGAAGAGAATGAAGAAATCGAAGAACTTGGGAACTTCCTAGTTTTAGTATTAGCTGTTAGCTTAGCTGTCTAACGGCTAGTTTTATTTCCTTTTTGGGAAAATTCCTACAGCTGTAATTCCTATCTTTTTCAGCTGTACCTTGCTTGATAACCAATTCTAGCCTAGGTGTAAGGATCGTAGCCTCCAATGATTATGTATGGCTGGAGATGAGTCCTTGGCACCTAAAATTTAGGCTCTGAGCTATTTTGGCAGTATGTGTCATGTATTTGAGTGTGTGTTTGTGCTCATTTGCATCAAGAGAAATATACTGAACATTCTTCATTTCATCTGCTCTTTCTCTTCTCCATATACCGTTTTTCATAAACGATTCTTTCCTTGCTCATATAACAAAACTAAAATCCTCAAACATTAGACACAGATTCAACACTTTCCTCCTCCTTACACACTATATACATGTCACCTTTGCTCCTTCGCACCAGCAAGCTTCGTCTGTCTGCATTTGGAAGAAAAAAAGGACACAACCCGCCCTGGCGCCCAGACCCGCGCGGGCCACCTAGGCACTGCCTAGATCCGCCCAGTCCGCCTAGCCCCCCCTAACTCCCTAGTGTCGGTGTCCTCCCGCCTAGCGCCTAGGCCAATATTTTGAACACTGCTCAAAACCTGGAACGGGCTTGCTCTGTGCCTAGACGTTCGTAGTCATGAGTTCAAGTCCGATTCACCAGAATATTTTAAAACCCGAGTATAGCCGAGCGGCTGTATGCTTTTTAAAATAAAATTAGGAAAAAAAACCTAGTATAGCCGCGTGGAAGTACTGTACTACAGCCAACTTCAGGTTGTTCGCTTGGTTGTGAGCAAGACAGCTGCTGGACAGCTTTACCATCACTTGATTCCTTTTGTTCTTCTTATTGTTGGTAATTTTATCACCTATCTCACGTCATCAGAGAACACACTGTTATTTTCTTACTTTTATGGAGAAAAGATGGGAAGGGGGAGTGTAAGAATATGACATCAATTGTTGTTTTTTGAATTAGGTAGCAGTCCATTTGATGTTGTGGATCCAAGCTGGGAGTTGTATGTCCTGATCCAGAGGAAAACAGATCAGCAGGGGGAAATCTATAATAGGTTGCTTGGTTTTACAGCTGTATATCGTTTTTACCATTATCCTGATAGTTCTCGGTTGCGGATTGGTCAGGTTTGCTCGTTGTATATATCAGTTGCTATTTATGCATGCTCTAGTTCAAATAAATTTCATTTTTTGTGCAATCTTGGTGCTGTTGAGTTTTAACAAGCCTGCTTGTTGATGGCAGATATTGGTACTGCTTCCTTATCAACACAAGGGTTATGGACAATACCTTGTTGAGGTTCTCAATGATGTTGCAATATCTGAAAACGTCTGACCTCACAGTTGAAGAACCATTGGATTACTTTCAACATGTACGCACTTGTGTTGATATACTGCGCCTTCATAAGTTCGATCCATGTAACAACTTATGACATGGCTGACAAGACTTAGGTCACCAAGATTCATGTCCTCACTGGAGGCTGGAAAACTTAATGTCATGATCTTGGACTGGTTCGGAAGCAGGAATTCATGAAGGTTGCAGGTGTTCATTTTGCTAGGAGTATTATGGCAAAGATATATTGCTTTTGGTTTCATTATTGTTCGTACGTATGTTCCAAGAGCCTAAAACTCAAACTGGCTTATGTTTACTGTAATTAATATATTTTACCCTAGCAAGATGGTTAAATTTACAAGTCAGTAATAGTCTCCTTCAGTCAAAGTATATTATACAGGTTGTTAGTTAGTTATAACAGATTTAGTCCGGAGACTAATATGTAATTTGGGCTCCATTATCAAGAAATCTCTTGAACTGTCTAGAAAATCCATTTCCCATTTCCCATTTCCCATTTCTCTTGAACCAAATTAGTCTCCCAAACCAAATTTATCTCCCAAAGAAACACTTTTTCTCTTGCGATCAGAAGCACCATTGTGAAAGAAAACAACACTATCAGTCTATCAGGCATGGCTGATGATCATAATGAAGACCCCCGAAATGAAGTTCCAGCAGCTGTTCCCAATGTAGAGCATGCAGAAGATGCGGAAAGAGAATTGCAAAGGCAAGAAGAAATTCTTTCAAATCAACAAATGCGAGAATATTTCAGATCAGTTTTTCAAGAAACTGAAGTTGAAGCCCTTAGTTGAAGCCATTGCTCCACAAGAACAACCACAGCAAGTTGCTGCGCCAGAATATGAAGATTTGGCAGCACTTTTTCAAGAAATGGAACCACAGCAAGAAAATGAAGATTTTGCAGCACTTTTTCAAGAAATTGAACCACAGCAAGAAAATGAAGATTTTTCAGCACTGTTTCAAGAAATTGAACCACAGAAAGTTGCTTCACTAGAACAACAACTAGAACAAGGCTCTTCCTCTGGAATTAACCCTTGTTATCAAAAATCAGTCCAAGGCCTCCAAGAGTTTGGTCAGTTTCAAGAAACTGGAGTTGCTGCACCAGAACAACAACTAGAACAAGGCTCTTCCTCTGGAATTAACCCTTCTTATTATCCGCAATCAGTCCAAGGCCTCCAAGAGTTTGGTCAGTTTCAAGAAACTGAAGTTGCTGCACCAGCGCAACTAGTACAAGGCTCCTCCTCTGGAATTAACAAGTATGTCCCTTCTTATCCCCAAGAATTTGCTCAATTACAAAAACGTGGAACCCAACATGCCCAAGAAGTCATTGCAGCACAGGGCATGCCTGAACAACAACAAGAACTTGAACAAAGTTGGAGCCTCCAAGTCTCACCTCAGTTTCACGAATCTGCAGCCCAAGAACATGCAGTCATGGCAGCACAGGACATGCCTCTGCCTCAACAACCGCAACAAGTAGAACAAGGAGGCCATGCCCCTCCTGACGTCCCCCCAAGCCACCAAACAAGATCACAAGGTGCAGCAAGCGTTTTGAGAAGCAGTTGGCATATAGTGAGTGACACGAGCTACGTTGTACATGTGCAAAAAAGACGTGGAAAGCCACATCTTGCCATTGTTGGAGGCTGATGAATTTCGTAAACTAGGCATAAAGAACCAGGAGGTCACAGTGTATGATATTGATGGTGACGAGTACCCTATACATGTCACCTTTGCTCCTTCGCACCAGCAAGCTTCGTCTGTCTTCATTTGGAAAAAAAAAGGACACGACCCACCCGCCCTGGCGCCCGGACCCGCCCAGGAAGGCCTAGATCTTCCCAGGCCGCCTAGGCGCCGCCTAGATCCTCCAAGGCCGTCTAGGCCCCCCTAACTCCCTGGTATCGGTGTCCTCCCTCCCAGCGCCTAGGCCGATATTTCGAACACTGCACAAAACCTGGAACGGGCTTGCTCTGTGCCCTCGACGTTCGTAGTGATGAGTTCGAGTCCAATACGCCAGAATTTTTTTTAAAAAAACCACGTATAGCCGCGCGGCTATACTATTTTAAGGACATACCAGGTATAGCCGCCCGGCTGTACTATTTTCAAAATAAAATTAGGAAAAAACCTAGTATAGACGCGTGGAAATACTATTTTTAATATAAATTTGTAAAAACCCGAGTATAGCCGCCCGGCTATACTATTTTCCATAAAACATAAACCACCATTCTAACCTTTCTACGAGAATGGATTCATCTTCATATGATTCTTTGGATCTACCATATGAACCACCTTTGGCTATGATTTTTTCTCTTATTGTTCCTTCTTTTTGTATAAAATTTGGATTTTATAACTATTGTGCACGAATTATAATAATTTGAGAAAATTTTGATAAATCACATCAACATGTCATGTGGATATGTACACAAGGGACAAAATAACTTCTCAAGTGAGTCAGTGAATTACTAAAGTATTTTCATGATCACAAATTTATTGATTCAATTTAGCACTCCTGACAGGACCCGCCCCGGAATTTCCCCCGAAACCGGGCCGGACCCCGTTTAATGCCGACATCACACTGATGCCGGGCCCACTTACTAAAAATCCAAGACATCCTACCAAAATTTTGGCAGAGTCTCCCCTGTAAAATGTTCAAACCCAACAATATTCAACCTGCATAATTCACATCATAATATATCCCAACTGCCAGCATGCTTTTAACATACAACAATCCAACATAAAATGGCCTCCGGCCTCAAGTAATAGCCTAACATGGGCGATAACAGAGCGTCTACAGAATTTGTTTACAACAAACAGGGGAGTAGAAAGAATTTATACAGACCCTAACAACTGACGACAAGCTTGGAGCTCGTGACTTGCTCGAACGCCTTCGAAAGCAACTACTGTCTGGGGGGCGCAAAACAGAAATATGTGAGTGGACAGAAATAAAGTTTCACTTTAAATCAACATAGTAACCCCACCATGTAAAAATAATGCTCTAGCATGCAGTTTCACAATTCAGAAAAACCAAAACTCAAAACACAATATCCCTGAGTCCAAAACAACTCCACAACTCATTTCCCCAAAGATATGCAACTCTCATCAACCCGTAAATACCCATATATAAATATATATATATATATAGCTAAGACTTTAATATAATATATACTCCTCTCATACTAATGTACCGGGGAGACAATCCAACCGGGGGATTGTTAGCTGGTACGCAGGATTTC